CACACACACACTTGCCTCTCTCTCTCTCTCTCACACACACACACACACACACACACACACACACACATTTTCACCTCTCTCTCTCATTTTCACACAAACACACTGACTTGCACACACACACTCACCTTTCTCTCTCTCTCTCTCACACACACACACACACACACACACACACACACGCACAACTCTCTCAAGCACACATACACACTCACCTCTCTCTCTCTCACACACACACACACACACACACACACCTCTCATGCACACATACACACTCACCTCTCTCACACAAACACTCCCTCACTTGCACACCCACACACATCTCACGCACACATACACACACACTCACCTCTGTGTGTGTCTCTCTCTCCCTCTCTCTCTGTCACACACACACACACACACACACACACACACACACACACACACACACACATCTCAGCACACACACACTCAAGAGATGACAACAAGTTTTTAAAGGTATCTAGTTTTATATAATTAGCTAATTGCAGAAGTCCTGTTACACATAATAATTACAAAGACAGAGACACTAATTTACGGGAACATGCACGGGAACATCAGAGTCCTGTCAGAGAACTATTCCACGTTTCACTGACTAACTAAACCGGCTAGCGCCACCTTGTGGACGGCCTTTTCCCTTCAGTGCAGTATATAAGTGGGTTAGGGTTAGGGTTAGCTAATATCCGTATGCATATAAAAATAGTTTCGATCAACTGTACATAAAATTTTGTCAAAAGGGTTTTTTTTTTTTAAAGAAATGAATACTTTCATTCAGCAAGGATGCATTAAATTATTCTAGTGACAGTAAATAGATATATAATGTTATTTTTTGTAATTTTAAATAAATGCTGTTCGTTTGAACTTTCTATTCATCAAAGAATCATGAAAAGTATTTTCCCACAAAACTATTAATTGTTTTCAACATTTCTAATAATCATAAATGTTTCTTGATCATCAAATCCTCATATTGTAGTGATATCTGAAGGATCATGTGACACTGAAGACTGAAGTAGCCTAATGATGCTGAAAATTCACAGGAATAAATTACACTTTACATTCACATAGAAAACATTGTAATCATATTTCACTGTTTTTACTATATTTTTGGTTAAATAAATGCACCCTTGAGCAGAAGACATATCTTACCAACCATGAACAACAGTTGTAAATACTACAAGAATAATATTTTTAAGATTCAAAATCCAGTATCTCATTGGCAACTCACTCATACATATATTATAGCCCCAATTCTTAACATTATTAATTGCTTATACTAATTAGGCACATATTTTCATTTCTATAATAATGTGAAACCCAAGGTCAGAATGTGATCTGAGCCATACCCTGTGATAAAATTAAACTTTTTAAAATAATTAATCATTTATGACATGTAGAAAGTGCGTGTGCAACTGACTGTCCATCAGGACTCAACCGAAAGCGTGTTCTCCGTCGTCGGCCTGCTGGAAGGTGCAGTCGTGCTCCAATTCTGGCGAAGCGGCTCTTCGCTCCTCGGACTCGGGTCGTTTGGTTCTGGTCGGGACCGGAAGCTGTTCGGAATGAAGCAGTTCAGTGGGATCGAGGTCTGCCGTCGTCACATGGGCGGCGACACGCGGCCGAGCGGATTTAATCCTCATCCTCCGTTTCAGGTCCTCCTCTCTCTCCTAAAAACACATGCTTTTCTTTAACAAATCTTTAAGAAACCAAATATAACAAAGATCTCGTCATCCCGTCTGGTGTTTTAGTGCTCTTATTTTGACATGCATTTCTGTTCTCATTGTTCCTGTGTTTGCCTCGTTCCCATCATAGACATTTACCATCATTTACATTTACCATTTACATTTACATCATTTACCATTACCATTTACATCATTTATCATCATTTACCTTCCCTGCCTGTGCCTGGATTACTGGAATAAAAATCAGCATTAGTTCCCAAACAAATGAAATTAAGAACAAATATATAATAAAAAGAAATATATATGTTAGCAGATTATTTTCATATTTCTCCCTTGATATTGCATGAAAGCATGTTGCATGATATTGCATGTTGACCTTGAAAGGGTTTACGTATAACCTTAATGTGCATGACATAAATATGTGTTCATTTGGGAGATGTAAAAATAATATATTATAAATTACTAATCTTTTTTTAAACAGAAAATGATGAAAAAAGTAAAAATACTGGGAGAAAGAAAAAAATATCCTTAATTATCCTTAAAAAACCTTATTGTATAATTAAATAAGAAATGTATTGAATAGAAAGACATAATAAAAGAATAAAAACAGATGTTTTATGTAGGCTATGGCAACAAGTGCTGTAATTTTGTTTTAATGACCCTACAAGTGCATTTAAACTGTCAAAATATGAGCAAAATACAGTGTATATATATATACTGTGTATATATATATATATATATATATATATACATTAAATATGAAGGAAAAACAAACACTAAACTTAGTTGAAGTATTTATCGGAAACAAATATTTGGCAATAAAGGGCAAACTACAGCTTATACAACATATTCAGTTATTAATATATCATTGGTTCTCTCTTGTGTTGATAATTACTGTGTATGACAGCTTGGACAAAAATTATGTTGCACAATTTGTCATGAATCATTGAATTATCAAAAAATTGTCTCCAGGCACAACTACGCAATATGCTTGAATAAAGCTTAGGCTGGACATCACTAGTGTCTACTACTGTACTTACTAATAATGCTATAGACCTTATGTAGGCCCGCCCCTTTTCAGCACTGCGTTCGTTGTCTTTTGACTTCCGGTGTGTATTTTCACAGCAATCTTGCATAGGTATGAATGAACTGCTCGTAAAAAAATTCTCGGTCGACATTCGTTAAGACATCTTTACAATGCTTATGATAAACATTACAATGCTCATGATAACTTTTGTTAACTCTACAATAAGTAAATCCACTTCACCAGCTAATTACTACTCGACAGCGATGCCATAGAGATGTACAGAGCGACCGCAAAAATGGAAGTTCAAAGACAATATTCTAAAGATGACGGCGCCCATGTTTCTCTGGTGCATAAGGTCTATACAATCTAATTCCAGGTGAAATACAAACAACTTATTGCAGGATCAGATCCAGCACTGAACATTAGCTGAGTGATTTTAAATGCATGACAGGAAGTGAGTAGTGAATGACATTTAGTTGTGTTTCACCTTTCTCCTCTCCTCCACTTGTCTCATCTTCATCTCGATGTCTTCCTTCCTGGTGACTTCTTGTTCTTTGAGAGTTTTCAGTGACTCGAGTCGAGCGGGCGGTTTGCTCCTCGGCTTCCCCGCCTCCTCCATCTAATACACATTACACATGTTTGTCCCAGTGGAACAGAAATGAGAAATGACACACTCACAATAACACACACCCTTACACTCAAACACGCACACACACACACACACACACGCACACACGCGTGCTCTCACTCTCTCTCAAAAACTCACAAACACACACACACACCCACGCTCTCACTCTCTCTCACAAACACACACAAACACACACACACACACACACACACACACACACTCCCTCTCTCAAAAACTTACAAACACACACACACACGCTCTCACTCTCTCAAAAACACACACACACACGCTCTCACTCTCTCTCAAAAACACACACAAACACACACACACGCTCTCACTCTCTCTCAAAAACACACACACACACACACACACACACTCACTCTCTCTCAAAAACACAGAAACAAACACACACTCTCTCTCACTCTCTCAAAAACACACACAAATACACACACACACACACACACACACACAGACTCTCAAAAACACACACAAACACATACACACACTCTCACTCTCTCTCAAAAACACACAGACACACACGCTCTCACTCTCTCTCAAAAACATAAACAAATACACACACACACACTCTCACTCTCTCTCAAAATTCCCGCTAGAGAAAAAATAGTCCCTGACCGTGAACAGCAACAAATTTCCAATGTGTAATATGCATGAAAGCTCAAATAAACACAGCATGGAAACTGCAGTGTTGCGCAGTGATACATAGAACTGTTGGGTGAAGCGGTCATAGCCGTATGTTATCATGAATAAAGCACAGCTATTGACCAATCAGAATTAAGGATTGGAACTAACCGTTTTATAATTATCATATCATAATAACTACATCATCTATTCAAAGCTTTGGAATTTCAATAAAATTCCCCAAACGTTAAGTCCCGTACCGTGATGCTGTAGGCCTGTCCACTGCTGCCCCGATTCGGATGAGCGGGAATGATTCCCTGAGTTAGCAGCTGCTCCAGGATCTCGCTGGACTCGGGGCGCGCTTCGCCTCGCTGGGCCAGGACAGGACTCTGGGCTGCGTTTCACACACAAAATAAATATTAAATTTAGCTTTTCCTTTATATTTTCTAAGGTTGTTGCACACAAAACACAATGCTAATCTGCTTTCCTGCACTACCAGTGAAAAGTTTTAAGATTTTTAATGTTTTTAAAATAAGTCTCTTCTGCTCACCAAGGCTGCATTTATTTGATTAAAAATAAATTTAAAAAAAACAGTGAAAATTGTGAAATACTATTATAATTTAAAACAGCTGTTTTCTATGTGAATATATAGCAAAGAGTAATTTATATAATGTAATCAAAGCTGAATTTCAGCAACATTACTCCAGTCTTCAGTGTCACATGATCCTTCAGAAATCACTCTAATATGATGATCTGATGATCAATAAACATTTATGATTATTATCAATGTTGAAAACAGTTATTAACATTTGATTTCAGGATTCTTTGATGAATAGAAAGTTCAAAAGAACAGCATTTATCTGAAATAGAAAGCTTTTGTAACATTAAACACTACCGTTCAAATGTTTGTGATCAGTAAGAATTTTTATATTTTTGGGAGAAAGAAATCAATATTTTTCTTCATCAAGGATGAATTAAATGAATCAAAAGTTACAGTAAAGACATTTATAAGCAAATTGAAAATATTCTATTGAACTGAACACAACTGTTGTCAACATTGATAATAATAATGAATATTTGATGTGCATCAAATCCTCATATTAGAGTGATTTCTGAAGGATCATGTGACACTGAAGACTGGAGTAATGATACTGAAAATTTAGCTTTGATCACAGGAATAAATTAGACTTTATGATATATTCAAATAGAAAAAAGTCATATAATAAATTGTCTCAATAATTAACAATATACTGTTTTTTATCAAATAAATGCAGCCTTGGTGAGCAGAAGAGACTTCTTTTCAAAACATTAAAAATCGTATCGATCCAAAACTTTTGTACATGTCTCTGAATGAGTTGGTTCAGAGATATGTTGTTTTTGGATGCATTAGAGTGAAATAACATAAGTTGTGTTGTTTCCTAACCTCGTAGCGGTGGAAGGAGTCCAGGAACAGATCCGGGGAGAACGACTGGCTCTTTCGCATCCAGACTGACCCCGCTGTCTGTGGTCATCTTAGACACAGCGGACTCGCCACGGGATCCTACCTGAGCCACTGCAAACTATATATAATAACAGATAACAATAGCAAAACACTGCCAGTCTACATGGGCTCTGAGCTGAGTTAGGCTGGTTTTAGATGGGTTTGACTTGGATAAACCAAGATCAGTAAACCAGTGTGTCTGTTTGCGTAAACTGCTCAATCTAAATATCGTCTTAAAGATTGGTCCTAGTCGGTTAAATAAAAGAGTAGATTGGTCTAATTTGAATAAAAATAAAATAAAAATTAAGACTGATTACCTCTTGTCTTGTTAATAGTTGATCAAATGAGATCTTAGGGATACTTCACCCCCCAAAAAAAATAATTTACTCACTCTCATTTTATTCCAAACCTGTATTAGTTTCTTTCTTCTGTTTAATGCAAAATAATATATTTTGAAGAATGTTTGTACCAAATAGACGTTGGGCACCATTGACTTCCATGGTATCTTTTATGGAAGTTAATTTGAAGCCCCAAAACTTTGGTTACTAAATTTTTGACACATTGTTTCAATTTTTTAATTACATTTTTAAACCCAAAGGTTGTGTTTGTCTATATTTGACACATTGTTTCAGTTTTGTAATTAAAATGTTAAACCCAACGGTTGTGTTTGTCCATATTTGACACATTATTTCAATTGTTTTATTAGGATGTTAAACCCAACGGTTGTGTTTGTCCATATTTTGTGCAAACATTCTTCAAAATAATGTTCAGCAGAACAAATAAATTCATACAGGTTTGGAACAATTTGAGGCGACAGAATTTACATTTTTGTGTGAACTATCCCTTTAAGACACAGTAGCTAAGTTTATGTTGGTTGGTTTTCATCGTCTTTAATTATTCATCTAAAGACTATATTAAATATAAGCAAAAAAAAAATCAAAGTTGTGTGGAAAAACATAGCCCTTTATCTTTCAACATAGGCTATTATATATAACCACTGTCGACTCACTCATATTCCTTTCATTATGAATTAACAAAATCATTTTAAAACCTACCTCATTTCCGTTCAGACTGCTCGGTTTCACGGGTTCAACCACCGTGATTTTGGAGCTCCCGCATCCCATGTTTATCAGGATTGCGCGCTCTCGATGCGAATTCTTTTCGAATACGTGTGAAGTTATTAAACATTCCAACACATGATCCACGAGCGCGCGAGTATCGTCGTCACGGACTCTCTGCGTTGCTACGGTTCGTTGCTACAATAAATCTGACCCTGTTCCAGAGGTCACGTCACCTGTGATGTTGCCTTGGCTCTGTTCGTCAAAAATAAAACACGGCTTTACACTGGTAATTGATTACTAGAACAAACGTGCCATCCAGAGTTAATTAGTCACTGGTCTATTTCATCAGAATTTTAACTAGGCTAAATATTTGAACAAGACACTGTTTTCTCACTATTTAGTGTTTTTCTTTTAAATAAATAGCCTAAATAAAACTTATAGTGGCAAAACTGTTATGACCCATTTTTACTATTATTTTATAGGAATTTCAGTTTGTCTAAGGGTCTTAGAATCTTGTGGACATTATCATATTTTTTAATTTATTTACATTTTATTAAATGTATTTACTTATTTATTAATAAGGCTATATTATAAACAAGCTGTAAAAATACAATAGGCTACCTTCTGTTATAGTTTTAATTTTATAATTTATAATTTTTACACAATAAACATTGAAATAAATATTTAAATAGTTGATTTAATAATTATTTTTTTAGATGTTTGCATAGCTGTAAAAATATTATGATGCACTTTCATATTTTAAGATTGAAGTTCTGCGTTATAAAGGTTCGTATTGGCAATTATGGGAACTTTAACATTCCATAAAAAGTTATTTATAGTGGATTGTTTCTTTAGATTTTAGAATGTACTTTGAAAAGAATGTTCACTGACAGATTCTTCCACTCTAAAAAAAATGCTGGGTTGTTTCAACCCAATTTTGGGTCAAATATGGACAAACCCAAATGTTAGTTTAAAAAATAAATGCAATTTATAAATTTAACACAACAGCTCGGTTTGTCCATATTTGACTCAAAATTGGGTTAAAACAAGCATATTTTAGAGTTACTATGCATGCATTGCTGTGAAAATCCCCTTTTGGAACCTTTATTTTTAAGAGTAAATGATGGGACAAATGTGAAACAAAACTCTGTCTATATAGGCAAACTCTGCAAAATTGATGGTTTCTGTACGGTTAAATGTTTCTAACACACAGAATATTTGTTCACAAAGCTCAGTAAGTTTCTCTATATGGTCAATTTACTGTGGATCCCTTGGCAGACTGGGAACCAATTAGATGTAAAAATGCCACATAATAGACCACAATCCCAATGGACATACAGCTCACACGAGGTTTCATTTCCTTTTATTTGCTGCATTTGACCATGGCTTGACAGATTGTCACTATGTCACCTAGACACAAATGCAAACATACCAAGATATCATTTCGATTGCCACACAGCACTCAAAGATGCAATCAAATGTAATGTATTTAGTGAATAATATCTACTGGATTTTAACTAAACAAACAAACAAACAAACAAACAAACACACCCTCATTTAGTTATTGATAGCACTGTCAAGGAAAAATATGCATTAAATGTATTGTATTAAAAGATGCCTTAATAAATACATACATAAATAAATATATTATATTTAATAAAAATAGTAATTTAATGCAAAATATAATTAATAATATACATTTAATATAAATGCACTTTTTAATGGCACACAATATGTATATGTATTTATATAAATCTGCCAATAAAGCTTCCTGAGTCCTAAACTAAATTTTCAATTTGTTTAGATTTTTTTATCAAAAATTAAAACCCAACATTTGTGTTTGTCCATTTTTGACACATTGTTTCAATTTTTAAATGTAAATTTTAAACCCAATGGTTGTGTTTGTTGATATTTGACACATTTTTTTTAAATAAAAAAATTAAACCCAAAATTTGTGTATATCTATATTTGACACATTTTTTAAATAAAATTTTAAACCCAAAGGTTGTGTTTGTCCATATTTGACACATATATTTATTTAAAATTTTTACCCAACTATTGTGTTTGTCCATATTTGACACACACACACACACACACACACACACACACACACACACACACACACGCACGCACGCACGCACACACACACACACACACACACACACACACACACACACACACACACACACACACACACACACACACACACACACACACATGTATATATTTTTAACCCAACGATTGTGTGTCTATATTTGACACGTTTTATTTTTTAAATCACTTAAAATTGTAAACCCAACGGTTGTGTTTGTCCATATTTGACCCAGTGTAGCATTTATTTATTTTTTTAGAGTGATTTCATTTTTGATTTGATTTTTTAGATTCAGATTAGGTTAAACTGATTTCAGACTGGATTGAATAACTTGTGAACTTCTTCTGAACATTTTCACATTTTTGTTTAACTTAAGTTTGTCACTGCTTTGTTTGTCTTTTCATGTTTTTTTTATTTAGTTTATTCAATGTACCCCTGACTGTAATTGTAATTCTTGAAATTCAATAATAAAAAAAAAATAATAATACAGTTTTTTTCGATTGCTTACTAAAATTAGAACTTTCCCACAATAAGCGAAACCTTACACTCAAGGAGCAAAACACCGGCCTAGATTTGCACAACTGTAAGCACATTGTCAGCTTCACACTTTTTGCAAAACATTACACACAGTGATTTGCAAAACACTAAACACACTTGTATGCATTTGACACAGAAATTTATCATGATTGAATTTCCTTGCAATTTTAAAGCAAAGGCTTTCAAATAAACACAAACATGAACCAATTGGTTAAACACAGCCACCAGGTGTGCACACACACTGGTGCTTAACTGTAGACACACCAATCAGGTTTAAGTACTATAAAAAGGCAAAAGGTAAGTTCATCTGTCTTCAAAATGGACAGTGTCAGAGGAAGAGGAAGAGGGAGAGGAAGACCTGGAGGAGTGATAGGACATGCACAAAGAAGAAGACAACCAAATTCAGACAGGGTCAAGGTCCTGCGGTGTGAATATGTGGTGGGTTTTATTCACTGACTATATTGTGTACTGCACACATAACCTTTTTACGTACTGTACATGTAATTTTTACTATACAGACCTACACTATATTGATCTACACAATGTGATCTTTTGCTGTATTTCAGAGAGTTTTGCAAATGGATGCGGAGGAAGTCCTGCATGAGTCCCACATTTCATCAATACGCAAAATTTACAGTTCAGTATTTTCCACCATACTCCCTTCTTCTTACAGTAAGGGACAATGTTGAGTTCTTCTCAACATGGCGGTGGAAGGTTTATGATCTCTGGCCCTATGTCCAGATGCCCCTCATTCAAGCTATGAAGGAAGCATGTGATCAAATTGAAGCAGCATCCATGGATTCGTCACTCAAAAAGATTCCTCCCATGTTGCCTTGCAAATGAAAATATAGCATAATATATGATGTTTACGAGGCCCTGTGGCCAGAACCAGCTTGGTGGAGAAATGTTTAGTACTGAACTGGATATGTAATCTGTTACAGTATTACAGTATGTACTGTAAGCTTATAGTACAATGCTACGTTCAGTAATACTGTATGAAAACTGGAAAATGTTTTTTTGTTGTTGTTGTTGTTGAAATGTTCAGTATTGACTGAATTGAGTACATGAAAAGAAATAAATATTTTCATTAGTCTGCAAAATTTGTGCCATGTGGTGTTGGTGAATTTATTTTTTTCACTTTCTCTGTAAATGCTAAAAGTGTTTTAGGTTGAGCATAGGAGTGTTTAACTGATTCAAACAGAGTCAAACCATATGATGGTTGTGTTCATGTTATGACAGCAAAATAAGGTTTTTATAAGACGTTAAATAGTTTTGATAAAAGTGTTCCATTTTGCAAATGATCTGAAGTGTTGTGCTACTTTGGTGTAGGGTTGTGTTAATTGTTTGTAGTGTTTTGACAAACCGGGCCCTGTTTTCAAAATTGTGCTTAAGCAATCGAAAAAAACTGTAATAAAAAAATGAAAAAAAAAAAAATTTGTGAACTTCTTCTGAACTTCCTCATTATAAACCCGAGCAGATCCGCATTCACGCCAGAAGATGGTAGTGTCGCCAAACCCTGAACAACCACGCCTGAAATAAAGCCCTGCAAATGAGAGAAGCTCTTATAGCCTCCCGCCTTTAACCCAGCCAATGAAGTCGACTGAAACAGGGCGGTGAAAGCGACTCGACACACTCAACTTCGGCCAGAGTCTGAGATTATTAAACTCAGACACAGTTTGGAGGAGAGACTCGCCATGGCGCTAAGTCAGGGCTCCAGGATGCTCAGTAAAGATGACGCGAATTATAAACTTCACTTTCGGATGATTAACGAGCAACAAGTGGAGGATATCACCCTTGACTTCTTCTACAAACCGCACACCATTACTTTACTGACGTTCACCGTCGTCAGCATAATGTACTTTGCGTTTACGAGGTGAGTAAGGGGAGGTGTCCCGTGACTGACAGCATCATGTCAGCTCAAGTATGTTGATGTTTGTTACAAACAACTGCCTCATTGTTAAAAAATTCAAAACTACTATTGATATGAGTTTATTTATTTATTATGTATGTTTATTTATGTGACTTGAGTTACAGTGTTGACTCAAAACCGAAGCGTATTTTTAATCAAAATATTGTCAAATCAACCAATTTTTTTATTCTGTACATATTTTTTGAACATTTTTCTGAAGAAAGACATTATTGATGAAAGCCAAAATATGAAATGTTATGGCTGGATATTTACTGAGTAATGCACTATTTTGGAGAGGTGGGTCAAAAGGACAATTCTCACATGAGATTTTGAGCCAAAATGATTTTTGACCATTAAAAATGTGTGTATAATTTACTCATGGAGCCGCATTAAGATCTCCATATCTCTGGGTTTGAACCCTATAGGGCCTTTAAAATGGAGATACCAAAAGAAAAGTTGGTTAAGAACCAGAATCTATAAGGATATTAAGATATCTTTAATACTTCTCGAGTTATAGGCATTCTATTTTTGAACCGTCACTGTTGACATGATATAATGCAACAAAGTTTGATAAAGTCAACATATTTAACTAATAGACCCACCTGTCTCTGTGTAAAAATAAAATGATGATGCTAACATCTTTCTATAGACATTTTTACCCCCCTGTATTTGGCTCCAAAGGTTAAAATTGTTATTTTGACCCTCCTCTACGAAACGGCAATTACTTCGTAAACATACATCAATGCCGTTGAATATTTTGGCTTTCTTCTTCATTTATGTATTTTTTTCACAACATAAATGACATGGAATGAACCACTTGTATCTCAGTGATTTTAACACTGATCTATGTCATTCTCCATTCATTTGCCACGCCAGTAAGTCTGGTGACATTGTGAAAGGTGACATGACGTCATCATGTCTCTGATTTGTTATCTGCACCTCGTGTTTTTATTGTTGCAGGGATGATAGTTATCCTGATAATAACCTGCATGTGGGTCTCCTGCTGGTCGTCTCTTTCTTTCTTGTTATCAGTATTCTTGCATTCCCCAACGGTACAGTCATTCTCCGTTTGCTTTAACAAAACACTGTTTAACTGAGTGCTTTCATTAAAGGGAAATGCTTTATTTATTTGCTTGCTCTCATATCTTTTAAAACCCATTTCTTGGATGCAACACAAATATATAAAGCTGAATCCAAGCTTCCCAATGAAAGCACAAGCGTTTATTTAAAAATAGGAACAACAACATATTTGATGGCTACTTTCCCTCATTTTTTAGGTCCTTTCACAAGACCACATCCTGCAATATGGCGCATGGTTTTTGGTGAGTCTTTTCTTTTGTGTTCCCTTATCAGCAGCTCTGTTGGTTTAACCTCCAGGGTCTTGATTTATGGTGCTTTCGTCAGGTCTTAGTGTCCTTTACTTCCTCTTCCTGGTGTTCCTCATCTTCCTGAACCTGGATCAGGTGAAGACACTGTTGTATTGGCTGGATCCCAATCTACGTTACGCCACACGGGAAGCAGATATCATGGTGAGCTTAGGCTATAAATGGGAAAAATATTTCATCATATTGTTTTTATGTCAACAATAACAAAACTCTAGGCGACTATTATTCATTCACAAAGATTACCTGAGCTTCCCTCACTGCATTTCTACCATCTTTCATCTTGTTAAGATGCATTATAGTCAATCATTATTTATTTTCCACCGTGGATCCTTGGCTTTCATTGGAGTCTCATAATTTTTTTTTTACTAACCATTTACATAACAAGATAAACAGAGACCAACCCTAACCCATAATTATAATTATTGAACGTTTAGCCTAGGGAAGTTTAATAGAGTCCATTTTTTTCAGCTGCATTGGAAGTGTTTTTTCTGTTAATTTTCCCCATAGGGAATTTATAAAAAGCATTATAAGCCATGAACCTGACCAATCAGCTAACTACTGATTTGAAGCAAAAAAATAAATAAAAAAAATAAATTATTTTTGTGAGGGTAAGAATTAAATTTGATTGAATTAAAAACAATGGAGAAATATAAAACTACTAAGTTAAAATTGGTGATTTAAATAAGCAATATGTTTTAAGTGTATTGCAAAATACAGTAAAAAATTTAAAACCGACTCAAATACGTAATTAGCAGTGCTTCATGGGAGTGGACGGAGCTAATTAACTCTTGGTATTTTGAGCTAACCCTAACTCCATAGTTAAATGTGATTATTGTTAAAACTGAGTTGAAATAGTGTGGGCTGGTGATTTCAACAGAAGGTACAACCATCGATTAACAACCTCACTCACAGTAGGTCTGTCTATAAAGGTTTATAAGTTATCCTTAAAAATCAATTTCCCTATAGAAAATGAATGGAAGTTTTTACTTCCCGAACCGACTGTTGTGCTCTAATGAATAAATACTTGTGTTCAGTGCAGTGTTATTTTAGTTTTTATTTTAGTTTTATTTATATTCTGAATTATTTTTCATTTATAATTTTAAGTTTGTCATTTGTATATGTGCTGTAATTTTATTAGATAAAAAATGTTTTTTAGGTTTCATTTATTCTTCTTTTAGTTTTAATTTCAGCTCGTTTTATTTTTTATTTATTTCCAGTTAATGCTTCAACTTCAACATTTCTAACTTTAGTTTTTTTCAGCTTTATTTTAATGAACAGAAATGTCTTTAATAGTTTCAGTTTTAGTTCACAATAATAACACTGGTTCAGTGTCATATAATCTATGATTTCCGGCATAATATCACCTTTGTCTATTGCTCTGTGACAATCGTATTAATTTCTATAGCCGATCATGTTCACGTCATGCTCAGATTATGTCTGAGCTGTGTAGTTTAAAACCCTCCCTTATTAAGTGTGTGTGTGTGTGTGTTTCTAATCCAGTGAATCATGATTAATGTTTGTAAGCGGTCTGTAAGAGGTTTCCACAGTCTGGCTGCGGACGCTCAGCCAATAGAATTATTTCTCTGTCCATTGGCATTGACTCTCAGTGGATCTGTGGATACCACTGACGGTAAAGCGTTAACCAAGAGAAAAACAGCTTAAAGTCCTTGACATTTCGCATTCGTATTCGTGATTCGGTGGCTCTGAATTGTCAAACACCTCTGAAAATGCCAAACACACACCCAGTGTTGAGAGGAGATGTATATCTTGTTATACAAAGTATATACTCTTGATGTATATCAAGTGTAGCTTAATAGACTTAATAGCAAAGGCATTGGTATAAGCCAGATACCCCTGACTTGGATAATGGATAGAAATTGTTAAAGAAATGTATACTATGGAAGAAATGGCTTTTATTTTGAGACTTAAAAGGACTTATTTATAAAATATTGGACGATATATATTCAGTACTGCAATGTAAAAAATCTAACATTTCGAGATGAAAGCCAAATGATTGAAGTCGGAATGCTTCGAGATTGAAGTCGGAATGCTTCGAGACTGAGATTGAAGTCGGAATGCTTCGAGATTGAAGTCGGAATGCTTCGAGAGATTGAAGTCGGAATGCTTCTTCGAGATTGAAGTCGGAATGCTTCGAGAGATTGAAGTCGGAATGCTTCGAGAGATTGAAGTCGGAATGCTTCGAGAGATTGAAGTCGGAATGCTTCGAGAGATTGAAGTCGGAATGCTTCGAGAGATTGAAGTCGGAATGCTTCGAGATTGAAGTCCGAATGCTTCGAGATTGAATTCGGAATGCTTCGAGAGATTGAAGTCGGAATGCTTCGAGAGATTGAAGTCGGAATGCTTCGAGAGATTGAAGTCGGAATGCTTCGAGAGATTGAAGTCGGAATGCTTCGAGATTGAAGTCGGAATGCTTCGAGAGATTGAAGTCGGAATGCTTCGAGATTGAAGTCGGAATGCTTCGAGAGATTGAAGTCGGAATGCTTCGAGAGATTGAAGTCGAAATGCTTCGAGAGATTGAAGTCGGAATGCTTCGAGATTGAAGTCGGAATGCTTCGAGAGATTGATGTCGGAATGCTTCGAGAGATTGAAGTCGGAATGCTTCGAGAGATTGAAGTCGGAATGCTTCGAGATTGAAGTCGGAATGCTTCGAGATTGAAGTCGGAATGCTTCGAGAGATGGAAGTCGGAATGATTCGAGATTGAAGTCGGAATGCTTCGAGATTGAAGTCGGAATGCTTCGAGAGATGGAAGTCGGAATGCTTCGAGAGATGGAAGTCGGAATGCTTCGAGAGATTGAAGTCGGAATGCTTCGAGAGATTGAAGTCGGAATGCTTCGAGAGATTGAAGTCGGAATGCTTCGAGAGATTGAAGTCGGAATGCTTCGAGAGATTGAAGTCGGAATGCTTCGAGAGATTGAAGTCGGAATGCTTCGAGAGATTGAAGTCGGAATGCTTCGAGAGATTGAAGTCGGAATGCTTCGAGAGATTGAAGTCGGAATGCTTCGAGAGAATGAAGTCGGAATGCTTCGAGAGAATGAAGTCGGAATGCTTCGAGAGATTGAAGTCGGAATGCTTCGAGAGATTGAAGTCGGAATGCTTCGAGAGATTGAAGTCGGAATGCTTCGAGAGATTGAAGTCGGAATGCTTCGAGAGATTGAAGTCGGAATGCTTCGAGATTAAAGTCGAAATCTTTCTTTTTTTCTTTCTTTCTTTCTTTCTTTCTTTCTTTCTAAATGTTGAAACTTTGAAAATGAACTATGGATGCGAAAAATGCAGAAATGTTTTTTTTTCATGATGGATGAAAGTTTCAGAGGCAGTGTGTAAAAGTTATTGACAACATTTTTAATCTGCAAAAACTTCGGACGAGAATTTTCGTCTCGCTGTGCATGGACCTTACATGCATTTGATTTATTTATACATTTTAATCCCACTATATATTTTAATCCCACAGGAGTATGCGATAAACTGTCACAACATCACGTGGGAGCGCATCATGAGTCACTTTGACATCTTTGCCTTCAGTCATTTCTGGGGTTGGGCGATGAAAGCTCTGCTCATCCGCAGCTACGGCCTCTGCTGGACCATCAGCATCACGTGGGAGCTCACAGAGGTAATGCATCATGTTTTTGAAAGAAGTTAATATTGTGAAATATTATTCCAATGTAAAACAGCTGTTTCCTATGTGAATATATTTTAAAGCGTGATTTATTCCTGTGATCAAAAGCTGGATTTTAAGCATCATCACTCTAGTCTTCAGTTTCACATGATCCTTCAGAAATCACTCTAATGTAATGATCTGATGATCAAGAAACATTTATGAATATTATCAATGATGAAAACAGTTGTGCTGCTTAATATTTGTGATCTATTACAATTTGGACAAGAAAATGTAAAATTTTAAACGAACGGTTGATGGATGGAGAGAGTCATATATGTATATATATATATATATATATATATATATATACAGTACTGTGCAGAAGTCTAAGGCACACTAGTATTTTCGCCTCAAAGAAATGGTTTTAAGCCAGTTATTTATATATTTTGTTGTAGTGTCTCAGTGGGAAATATCAGTTTACATTTCCAGACATTAATTGTGCCATTAATTGTAATAAGTGAAATTTTTGAATGCACAAGGATTCTGACAACAGCCAATGCTCCACACAGAGGTCGGATCTCACCATCATCGAGTGCATTTGAAATTATATGAAGAAACAGAAAAAACAGAGACTAAGACCAGAAGAACTGTGGCAACATCTCGAAGGTAGTGCCTGCCTGCCTGCTTGCAAAGCTACAGTACTGTGAAAAAGCACTTGTGTAAAAATGCTGTAAATGAGAATGTTTTCAAAAATAATGTCATAATAATAAATGGATTTTATTTATCAATTCACTTTTATTAGTTAACTGTTATTAACTTTTAACAGTTAACTAAATCAAATCAATAGTTGTTTAGTACCCTTTACGTTTAAAACAGCTTTTGTCCTGGTATTGCACATAGTTTTTAGTTTTTTGCAGGTTTTGGAAATGTTGCCGCAGTTGTTTTGGTCTTAGTCTCTGTTTTTTCTGTTTCTTCATATAATTTCAGATGCACTCGATGATGGTGAGATCCGACCTCCGTGTGGAGCATTGGCTGTTGTCAGAATCCTTGTGCATTCAAAAATTTCACTGGATCATTACAATTAATGGCACAATTAATGTCTGGAAATGAAAACTGATATTTCCTACTGAGACACTACAACAAAATATATAAATAACTGGCTTAAAACAATTTCTTTACGGCGAAAATACTAGTGTGCCTTAGACTTCTGCACAGTACTGTATGTATATATATATATACACATATATATACATCCATCAACCGTTCATTTAAAATTTTACATTTTCTTGTCCAAATTGTAATAAATCACAAATATTAAGCAGCACAACTGTTTCATCATTGATAATATTCATAAATGTTTCTTGATCATCAGATCATTACATTAGAGCTCCAAATATTGGACTGCCTTGAAATATTAAATTGAAATAGCAGAAATAAATTAAGTTAACTTTTAAGAAACAATATTTTCAATGTAAAACAATACAGTAAAACAGTAATTATGAAAATCATTACAGCTTTAAATTGGAAAAATTATACATAAAATGTTATTTTTTTTCATATATTAAATAACTATTTTAACATAAAATAATATAAATACATATTTTATTAATATTTAAAATGTAATTTATTCTGTATATGGCTTGATCACTTGATCCTTCAGAAATAATTTTAATATGCTGATTTGCTTCTCAGGAAACATTTCTTATGATCGATGTTGAAAAATATTTCTTCTTCTTCTTCTTATTATTATTATTATTATCATCAATGTTGTTCTTTTATATTTTTTGTGATTTTTAATTTATTTTTTTTTGTGTGTGAAAGTATGCTGTCCTGGTGTCTTCATCTGCTCCCTCTGTATGCGCCGCAAAACTACATTTCCCATCGAAGATGATTAAACTCATATTATATTGTTTAGTACTGTATACAGCAGTTCCAGCTCCTCTTCAAAGCGTAGACTAGTGTCTAGTGTTCGATGCAATTTGCAACGGCCTCTAACATTGTGGGTTGAGTCTGTGCATGCGTAGTATGGTGAACCAAACCAGACAGACAGGTTTCTATATGAATGTTAAAGTGTAATTTATTCCTGTGAATTTTCAGCATCATTACTCCAGTCTTCAGAGTTCACATGATCTTTCAGAAATCAATCTAATATGATGATTTGATGTTCAAGAAACATTTATGAATATTATCAGTGTTGAAAACAGTTGTGCTGCTTAATATTTTTGTGGAAACCATGATGCATTTTCTTAAAACGGATAAAGTTAGAATCTTTTGTAACATTATAGCACTTTTGGTTAATTTAATGCATGCTTGCTGAATAAAAGTGGAATATTATTTATTCTATCTATAAAGACTTTTTTAGGATATGATTTTTGATTTGACACCATAAGTGGGTGTGTGTCTTTCCCAAGCGAATACCTTTGAAACTAAATACTCATTGAGCAACTTCCTCATACGTAACTTAGATTTAGTAATCTGCAAGAATTACAGTAAAGGAAGTATGACAAAGAGCTCTTTGACTAAAAATCCACTTAATAAAACCAAAGACAGTCTCAAAAACAAAGTTTGACTTCACAAAGTATTACCTTTTAACCAATCAGATCGACTTGTGCACATATGCACAATAGTGTTGCTTTATGTGTCTCTCTTCTCTATCTTTCTTCCTCATTCAGTTGTTCTTCATGCACCTCCTGCCAAACTTTGCAGAGTGCTGGTGGGATCAAGTCATTCTTGACATCCTTTTGTGCAATGGAGGAGGGATTTGTCTTGGTATGACTGTGTGTCACTTTTTAGAGATGCGTACCTACCACTGGGCCAGTATCAAGTAAGCTCTTTTTACCATTAATCTGTGTCTGAAACCAACATTTGTAATAGGCTTGTATATGTATATATCCATTTGCTGGCACTAGTGTTGCAGAAATGACAAATTCACTTAAAGTCCCCCTGTAGTCAATCATTTTATCCATTAAAAATCCTCTTTGATCACCAAAATGACATATTTACAAAAAAATTCCTTGAAGAAAAATCCTTATGCCTTAAAATAGCTTGTATGTAACTCGACACCCTTGCCTCATTTTAGTATGTGTGGTTCTATGAATATGCAAATGAGCCCCACCTCCGCTCACTCACTCAGAGATCCACTGGTTGACTATCACATGTTGATTGGCTGATTGGTTACAAGGTCGTTTGTGATGTCAGAAACACCAGTGATTTCAAACCGTGTTTTTGAGACTGTCTTTGGTTCACTGCAGTTTTAAGGAGGAAATACTCAGCAATGCTGTCGACTTATGAATTTACACATGGTTTAAGCGTATTAAAAACAACACATAAACAACATTAAAAGCTGGATTATTTACCACAGGGGGACTTTAAACATTACTGTTTTCATAAGCTTGTGAGAATAATTATTCGAATTATTACAGTAGCAGTAGTTCTCACTCACACACATTAATACTCTCCATTATTGCATTGTGCTCAGCACTAAATTCTTGTTGTATCAGGCGATCCAGGGTGTTCATTCAGGTGACACTCTAAAAATTAGAATATGGTGCAAAAGTTCATTTATTTCAGTAATTCAACTTAAAAGGTGAAACTAATATATTATATACATGCAAAGTGAGATATTTCAAGCCTTTATTTGTTATAATTATGATTTATGAAAACTCAAAATTAGAATTAGTTTTCATAAGTCATAATTAAAACAAAGGCTTGAAATATTTTTCTTTGCATGTAATGAGTCTATATAATATATTAGTTTCACCTTTTATGTTGATTTACTGAAATGCTTTAACTTTTGCACAATATTCAAATTTTTTGAGTTTCACCTGTGTGTCTAGTATTGTGCTAAAGCAGTGTTGTGTGTGTTTTTCGTGTGTTCAGGGATATCCACTCCACCACAGGCAAGCTGAAACGGGCTGTCATGCAGTTCACTCCCGCCAGCTGGACGTATGTGCGTTGGTTTGACCCCAAATCCTCGTTTCAGAGGGTGGCTGGAATATACCTCTTCATGATTATATGGCAGGTGTGCCATGCTTCAGCAATACACATGATCTGAAACATAAAAATTATCAAACTTTTCTGTTGATGCTACATTTAAGATCAGTATGTCACGCAAAAACGCCACCTTTGACCCAAACCAGCTTTCCACAAAACGTTCCCCCACTTTCAACCTTGAGTGATAATGATAAAATCACTGTGTAAAATTTGAAAAAGAAAATTGGTATTGATCATAATCAGGATTTCATAATGATTATTGCCAGTGCAATTTATTTTGTGCACATTTTTTTGTACTTTTAATAAGAAACATGTTAATGAGAAATTTAATAATAAAGCATGTGGGCGGAGTCTCCCTGCAAGCGCACTGCACTCGCAACCATATGAATACATAATCCAATTCATAAATATTACATTATTAAGATACACTGGGTGACTGAACAGACTTGGGTCATAGAACAGACTTGTTTGTTCACAGTCGAAACGTGAATTATCCATGTTTTTTTTCAGTACTAATCAGTACCTGAGATTATCATTGCAATACTTGGTATGTTGTTATTTCTGCCACAATGTCACATACACGGGAAATTTGAAAAATGAGAATATTGTGCAAAAGTTCATTTTTTTTAGTGAATCTAATGTTATATAGACTCATTACATGCAAAGTGAGATATTTCAAGAATTTATTTGTTATAATTTTCATAAGCAGGAAGCCATAATCTTCAAAATGATGACAAATAAAGACTTGAAATATATCACTTTGCATGTAATTAGTCTATATAATATATTAGTTTCACCTTTTAAGTTGAATTACTGAAATAATGAAGTTTTTTACCATATTCGAGTTTCACCGTTGCAGCTGGTTTGGACAAAACTCTGATTAAAGGAGAACTGCGGTCAATTTTAACAAAATTTTAACCATTTTAACATAACTTTTAGCCTCTTAACATCCTTGATGTGTCATTACAAGTGCACAGCCATGCGAGTGATTTTATTCAGATTGAACATAGTGAATCTGACTGCAGTAGATGTGAAAGATATGAATAAAAGTTATGTTTACCTGTATTTACTTCCTGTTTTCATCAAAGTCCACAGTAGTTGATTGCGAGTTATTATCAATGATCGCGTGTGCAAACTCGACAATCAACTACTGTGGACTTCGACCAAAAACATGAAGTAAATAATAAATACAGGTAAACATCATTTTTATTAATGTCTTTCACATCTACTGCAGTCAGATTCACCGTGTTCACTCTGAATAATGTGACTCGCATGGCTGTGTAATTTTTGTCTGTGTTCTCTGTACTGACAGCTGTCCAAATTTACAAAAAAAGATGCTTTCTATCGTGTCGTGGCATCACATTGTGTCTGGTTCGGCCCCGGTGTAAAGCAGGGAAATATGAAATTGTCCAATACATCCAGAAGGATGTCAACAAACAGCACTGGTTATAGATCACATATTCAGTGTTTATGCACTTTTGGGTTTTGCTCACTTTTTTCCTCTTTCTTTTCCCTTCCAACAGCTGACAGAGTTGAACACGTTTTTCCTGAAGCACATCTTCGTGTTTCAGGCGTCTCATCCTCTCAGCTGGTGCCGGATCCTCTTCATCGGGATCATCACTGCCCCCACAGTGCGGTAATGTTCAGATGCCTTCATCTGTGTTTCAGTATAATCCCTTGAAACAATCCTTTCTCTGTACTGGCACTTCTTACTCCACCAAACAATATTAATTATGCTCTTTTCCATGTTTGTTTAGTGTGTAATGTTGCTGTTTGAGCAGGAGAAAGCTCCAGTTCTTCTCTATATCAGTGTCAGTGTTTCTGAACTCCTGAAATGCCTCCATTGTAGTCAGGGCTGGATTAAGAGTTCAGAGGGCCCTGGGCAAAATGTCTTGTAGGCCCCCTCTTAAGCAGGCCAAATGTATATTTTGTCCAAGGACATTACAGTTTTACTGACTTAAAATTAACTTTGAACTATGCTGGAGTAAAGTTCATAAATGGTTGTTCTTTCCTATAGGAATTTGTAAAACTATGTTGGGTGGACCCTTAATAATATAGCCTAGCATTTACAGTTTTACTGATTTACTGTTCCTCTAGGGGGGTTCGGGGGCATGCTCCCCCGTAAGAAAATTTTGTACATTTTAAGGTTAAATGCATCAATCTCGTGCTTTTTGAGAGATCAAAATTAAGAGCTTCAACCCATGAACTGCTCGTTGAACATAGAAAACGCATTGATTTGTACCAAGACAATAAACAGGGCTCTTTTTAGTTGAGTCTCAGTCTACATTACATTATTACAAACAATTATTAGAATAATGTAAAAATAATTTATATAATTATTCCTATGACATAAAATCCATAAAGCTTATACTATATAAATGAAAATGAATATTTCAAAAGTAGCCTATATTTTAGTCTACATTACACTATAATATAGGAAAATTAAAATACTTTTGTCCTTATTTCTTCACTTGCAAGAAATAAACCCTTGAGCTTGTATATAGGAGAAAACACCAGATGACCATGATGATCGTGTGAGCAAAGTGCACACTTTTCTTTAAATCACCCAACACTAACAGGATGCCTATTCTTAATGTCTTGTGCTGTTTTATAAAGGCAAAAATCCATATCATGGTTTTGATTTTAGTTCGTTGGCAAAATATAACGCTAGAGACCTATGTTAGGTTATACATTTTACATCTCATATGTGTTGGGAAAAGCGGGAAGAGACTTCGGCAAAAGGCGGATTCGAAGTCGCTTCGAGCACATCAAAAGCTGATTCACCTGCTTTGCGCGCTACGACCTACGCCACTTCAACTGTGACGTGAACGGCGTCTTTTTGCATTAAAGACAGGCACTTAGAGCAAGCATACGTTCTGTTTTATCAAACCGTCCCTCGCGGCCTCGAAACACTACCGGCCCACCTGGGAAACTCCCGACTCTCCCGATTGCCACTGGTGTCCAGTGCCCCTTAGATGTTGTGGGCCCCTGGGCAAGTTCCCAGTTGCCCTCATGGTTAATCCGGCCCTGATTGTAGTCTTGAGTTTCTCCCGGGAATGAACACGTCACAAGATTCCTCATTATAATGCAGAATAAAGGGACGGGGCCTGTTTGAGTTAGTTAGTAGTGTGTTAAACTGGTGGTTATGGGAAGGGGCGGGACATTTCCCAAACAATCTCGAAGCGCTCGACCAATCACAACACACTGGTCCTGCCGACCAATCAGAGCACAGTGTGCTTAGGCTTCATAGAGACAGGAAGTAAACAGAGCGTTACTGACAGACTGGGAAGAGTGGAGCCGCAACAATGGAGAATATGAGGAAAATAATCAACATTCAATCAGGAAAACATGTTCTAGTAGAGCCTGAAAACATCATCAACACTGTGTAAAAGAGCGTGATGCTTGGTCCATTTGAAGTGAGGCAGTTTGCTGCATTTCAAAAAGCAAAACGTTCAGAATCATTATTTGTCCTAAAACAAATAATGATTAAACTAAAAGCCTTTCCTGGAAAGGCAGGACATGAGAACAAGAACTGATGATCATAAGAAAGCCTGTTATTTATTTATTTATTTATTTAATGTCGAGCGTGATCCGACCATGATTTTTCCATCCATATAATCATTTTAAATAAATATGACTCATTGTGGATAATGAAGTTTGGTAGGTGTTTAGTGTTTATACACACAGCCGTTGTACTGTTCAATACCAGAGGTCTCAAATAACTTGTATGGACCGTTATAACTCGTATTATCGTTTGGATTTAGGCAATACTACGCATATCTAACAGACACCCAGTGCAAAAGAGTGGGAACACAGTGTTGGGTTTTTGGGTAAGTGCATTTTTATTTATCTAATATGAAAATTATGTAATAACTTTTGAAACAAGGATTTTTAATATTATAGTTTTTCCAATTTGCTCTTAGAATAAGAAACATATGATGACTTAAAGGGAAAGTTCATCAGAAATGAAGAATCTGACATTGACAATTATAGTCAGTGGGCTCTAATGTTGATTTGGACCCCATTATATGTTTATCTCTGTAAAGCTTCTTTGAAACAACAGACATTGTTAAAAGCGCTATATAAATGAGGATGACTTGACTTATTTTTATTGAAAGTTTTGTGTACATGGTTTCATAAAACCTGTAAGATATACAGTACCACTAAATATATTTGGGCACTTTTAATAGACAATAGTTATCAAACTAAAAGTTAAAATTCTGTTATTTACTCATCCTTATGTTGTTTAAAACTTGTATGACTTATTTGTCTTTCTTCTATGTTTTTTTTTTTTTTTTTTTTTGTCCACACAATAGAAGTCACTGCTGTTGGACCCCATTGACTTCAACAGTTTTGCTCAAACATTCTTTAAAATATCGTAATATTAATGTATTTATTTGCTGGCATGCAATTTTGTGCCTTAATTTTCGTACATTAAGTGCGGTTTAAGTGTCCTAATACTCTTCGGGTCACTGTATTCTTGCTTTAAAGGAGTAGTTCACTTCTAAAAAAAACTTTTGCTGATAATTTACTCAGCCCCATGTCATCCAAGATTTCCATGTCATTCTTTCTTCTGTCGACAAGAAATGAAGGTTTTTGATGAAAATATTCCAGGATTTTCTCTATAAAATTGACTTCATTGGGCAACAAACGGTTCAAGGTCCAAATGAGAGTTTCATTGCAGCTTCAAAGGGCTTTAAACGACACCAGACGATGAATAAGGGTCTTATCTAGCGAAACCATCGGTCATTTCAAAAATAAATAAAAAAGTTTAAGTTTTATGAGCACAAATGCTCGCCTTGATCGAATCTCCTGTTCAAACTCGTTCATCAAAATGAACAAATCTTTTTTTCGAGTCAATTCGTTCATTTCGTTCGTTGAATTAACTCAAGATTTGTTCCTTTTTTTGATGAACGAGTTCGAACAGGAGAGTCACGAATGCGCATCACAGAACAGAGCAAGGAGAGCATTTGTGCTTATAAAACTTAAACCTTTTTATTTTTTAAATGACCGATCGTTTCGTTAGATAAGACACTTATTTATCGTCTGGTGTCGTTTAAAGCCCTTTGAAGCTGTACTGAAACTCTTATTTGGACCTTTTGGACCCCATTGAAGTCCATTATATGGAGAAAAATCCTGGAATGTTTTCATCAAAAACCTTCATTTTTTTTCGACTGAAGAAAGAAAGACATGAACATCATGGATGACATGGGGGTGAGTAAATTATCAGCAAAAGTTTTTTTTAAAGTGAAGTACTCCTTTAAAACGGTTTGCGTTTATGAGTGTGTGATTGTGTTCTTCTTTATAGGGCCATTGCTTTCCTGGAGGCGCTGGCTTGTGTCAAATTTGGACAGGACTTGTTCTCAAAAACACAGGTTCTCTATGTTGTCCTTTGGCTTTTGTGTTTGGTGAGTGTTTTTTCTTTTATTTATTAATATTTATATATACAATAATATATAAATTGATTAATATATGATGTATATTATTATCTTTGAAAATGCACATTTGTTTTAGAGCCGTGTTTCTCAACAGATATTGCATCCTTAACAAATATTGTCTACGTTCTTATACTGTGACTGCGCATCAGTGTGTGTTTATACATTACACACTGAATGTTTACAGATTGCACTTTGTTTGTTTCTGTATATACAGCATCTGCGATCACACTGAAAATCACTTAAAATCTGAATTAAATAAAATAAGAACAGGAGTTTTCAAACTTTTTGAAGACACAGACCATTACATCTTATTGTTGCCATTTACTGGTGAATATGGTGCAAAAGTTTATTTATTTCAGCAAATCAAATTAAAAGGTGAAACTAATATATTATAGACTCATTACATGCAAAGTGAGATATTTCAAGCCTTTATTTGTTATAATTTTGATGATTATGGCAGCTTATGAAAACCCCAAATTCAAAATTAGAATATTGTGAAAAGTTTTCATAAGCTGTAATCCATAATCATCAAAATTACTAATAAAGTTTGCATGTAATGAGCTAATAAATAAATAAAAAAACTTTGCACGATTTTCTAATTCTTGCGAGTTTCACCTGTAATAATCATGTTTAAAGATCAATTTATACATTTACATATCTGAATCCTTTTTTAATTATGTGTAATGTGAGGTGTAAAAACCTGAAGAGAAACATAAAATATGACAAAGTTACTGTCATTATTCTCAGATGTTTCGAATATTCAAAAGTACAGAATTGTTACATTTGTACAGTAATTCTTCACTATTTGGTCCTTTGCTAATGAAATAATAAGCAAATTATGTAATCATGAGCAAGTGGGACAAACCAAATACTATGAAACACATTTTTCACTTTGGCTTTTTGCTTAAATTATTATGCTGATAATTTATACATTGTATTGTTATAACTGAAATCATTTTTGGTGTTGTTTCTCTCATACACCTCTTGCCCCCTCCAGGCTTTCATTACTCTTCTCTGTCTGTATGGAATGGTCTGGCACGAGAAGAATTATGGGAAGAGACTGAAGGTAAATACCAGAACATGATTTGCAGAGCGATACCAAAATCCTCCGAATCAATTCTTCAACAAGAACGCAGCTCTGCGCTGTCATCTGGTCATTTTCAAAAAGAAAAATCCCCAGCACAGGGAGCTGGAGCCACAATGATGCATTAATGATCATTTCCCTTCGGGTTTTAGTGCAAGTCTTTGTTTATTTAACTCTCTTGTGCTGCATATCAAATGATGATTAACTGATGAATCTCCTAACCTTTACAGAGTATTACAGATTGCGATGACAGCAGCTTTATTGGCCCGGATCACCACGCTCCTGAAACTGTCAAAGGTAACATATAATCTGATAACACACATACACACACATAAAAATGCATGTGTATATATATATATATATATATATATATATATATATACAGTATGTGTATATATATATATGTGTGTATATATATATATATATATATATATATGAAGAGTTCCTATTATTCCTATTATTATTAATTACCTATTAATTGTTAATTAAGTGAAATTACTGAACTTAAATATACAAGTTTGATAAAAATCATCATTAAAGAAGAAAATTTCAAATGGAATTTAGAGGCTTTTGCATCTGAACTCTTCATATATATATATATCAGTTTTTTATTTAATTTTTTTTAGCTTTTTTGTTGTTTTTATTTAATATTTATATATTTATTTATTTTCATTTATTATGATCTATCTTTGTTCTTTTTCATTTTAATCTATTTATTATTTTTATATATATATATATATATATATATATATTTATACATATTATATATATATATATATATATATATCAGTTTTTAATTTAAGATTTTTCTATGCATTTATTTATTTATTATCATTTATTATTTTATATATAAATATATTATATATATATATTAAATATATATATGTGTGTGTAAGTGTATATATATATATATATATATATATGTGTATGTATGCATGTATGTATGTGTATATATAATTATATTATATATAATGTTTTTTATTTAATATTTATCTATGTATTTATTTATTTTATTTTCATTTATTATTTATTTGTTGTTTTATTTTTTTTATCATTTTTTTAATTATTTGTTATTTCATTTATTATTATTGTTATTATTATTATCATCTATTTGATCATTTTTTTATTTATTTTGTTTTATATATTTTTTAATTAATTGTATCTATTTGTTTATTTGTATTAATTTAATTTTTTATTATTATTATCAATCTATTTGTTTATTTATTTATTTTATATTTTTATTTATTTATTTATTTATCTATTTGTAGCTATTTATTTGTTTTGTTTTATTTTAATTTGTTATTGTTATTATTATTATTTATATATTTATTTATTTTTATTTATTTAATTTATTATTATTTATCTATTTGTTATTTATTACTATCATTAGCAGAGAGAAGCTCAAGTAGAAATACCAGTTCATCGAGAAGAAGAAAAGGAGGTTCTGGAAAAAACAAATCAATCAATGGATCAAGCGGCAAGAAGTGACGACCTAAGACTACGATCCTCACTGGACCTGAACACACGAGCGGCGAAAGAGCAAATCTGTCATAAACACTTGAAGAGATGTAAAGCAGGGCGATAAACCTAGGACACGCTCCAAACCCTCGTACTACTTTCACTTTATTTTCAGAGCACTTGGAAGGACTTGTGGTACGCCAGGTTTAGTGTAACACACACTTTCTAATGGCACTGATGTGGATTTCATACGTCTGAAGTGTGTGAGCCAGTGAATGTTTGCAATGCAGCGTTATCTTCTGTTCTTATTATAAATATTGTTTACGCAGACCGAGCCCTGTTTTTAAAGTTTGCACATTTTCCTGCACTTCTTCTGCACTATGCTCATCAGGGTAAGAAGTTTTATGCAACATTTCATCATAAGCATAAAAACATAAGCTCCACTTTTTTAATATATGCACTTGTTTTAATGCAGTATGATCTTTTTCAGCCTTAAATTTGCTCTTTTAAATTAAAACTGTGTAGAAGGAGGGATATTTACATTTAAGAGCTGTTGATTTATTTAAATATAATATGATTCAGCTTTTTTGGCAACATGAAAAAGTGTCATTTTTTTTCTCTGCATTTATAGTTTTCTTTTGTGGTAAGATTTATCATCATCATTCATGTGATTGCGGTCATGCGTGAATGATTTTAGACCCATAATGTGTTCTTTGTGAGGCCTTTAAATGACTATGCATTTATGCAGATGTTTTGAAGTACTTTTAATGTTTGCAAAACCCACATTTAATGAAACCTGTTTCTAAAATACTTTGCAGGGATTTTGTGCTGTTCCTAGTCACGAGTGATTTTTTTTCATGGGTTACTAATACTAAATGGTAACGATATGCTTGCTTATATTAACGCATCACGTGTTTGTTTGTTTTTGCCTTATTTTTTTTTTTTACATTTACATTTTTCATGGACCAAAATTGTGAGCAATACCCAAACTGTTAAACTATGTCCCTGAAAAAAAAAAAAAACAACAACCAGCAAACCCCAAAATAACTAAAAATGTTTGTCAAACTTGAATCTGCCACAGCGGTATTCTCATATCTGGTGATTTCAATCCTTTAATGTGATCAAATGGAGCAATGAAGTGTGATTCCATATTTGTTTGAAAAATGTCATTTTTATCAGTGTGGTTGGAGAGTAAGAAATGTTATTTTTCACTTACTTTATTGTTGAGTAATATTTCCAAATAAAATACAGAATTGAGTGTATATGCTTCTTAGTAATTGTATAGTTATTATTTGAGGTCCCAGTTTGAGGAAAAATGTGTTTTACCTTGTCATTTCAAAATAATGTGTTGAATTTTGTATATATATATTATATACACATTAATTATTTAAATCCAATTGGTTGAGTCTTTTTCCAATATGTTGACCCAGGAGCATGTTGAATCCGTTTCACCAAATATTTATGACTTAGTTACAAATTTGATATAAACTTAAAATTCACCCTACATTTTATTTTATGTCAATATAATTTTTTTAAATACTTTAAAAATGATATTTATTAATTTATCTATTGTTTATTTATTTTTGTTTTATTTCTAAATTATTAATTTAGCATTAATTTATTTTATCTATTTGTTATTTATTTAATGTATTATTATTTATCATTTTGGTATTTATTTTTATTGTCTTTTTAATTTTTATTTCGATTTTTTTTATTTATGTTTATTAGACCTAGAAAGTAGAAATTCGTGTTCATCACAGAGAAGAGAAAAAAAAACATTTCAGAACTAATATCACCCTTCTTCATAATTTATCCACCATGCCATTAAAGAAATAAATGTAATAACAATATAATAATTATTATTAGGCTATTAGTATCTCTTAATGACTAAAGTCTGATTTAACTCAATACACGTTTGAGCTATAACACGTGTAGTTTATCTTGTTGAATAAAACAAGTCTCTTCGCGTAATGTTTACCACAGACTTTTTTTTTCCCGTTTTTTACTCATTTCCGCCTAAAAACCCCAAAACATTCCCGAACCCACGATAAGTTGTCCTACAAACTGACGTCAATATCGAACGCATTTGTGTTTATCCGAACTCCATTTCCCACAAACCCCAGCGCCGAAGTGGCTGACGGTATATTGGAGAGCTGCGCTGTGACAGCGGAGCGCTACTGAGCAGACTCAATCTAGTTAGCCATGGCGGCGACAGGAGGAGGGAAAATCAGATCAAGAAGATATCACATCGCTTCAAAACCGTATGCCAAAGGCAAACAGGTAAATAAAACGAAGCCCTAGTCGCCATGACAAGGATTTTAGAAGATGTTAGCTTTAGCCGGACCGGTGGTTTAGCGGCGGGCTTTGGTTTTTGTAAACAGGAGGCATTTTGAGGCCTGTTTCAGGCCTGTTCACGTTCCCTCAGCAAACGGTCTCAACGCTGTCACCGCAAACCCGTTAGCAGCTAATTAATTTGACTGAATACACACAGCCCTTCCGCGTGGAAAATACTCGAAAATGTGGCGTTAGAGAGGCGAAATTTGAATGTATTTCACTAATTTCAAACAACCGCGTGAACGTGTTTTCAAACACAACACGTTAACTTAGCCGTTAGCTGGTGCTCGCACCGGCGTCAAACAGGAGTGCGTACATTTTAACAACCTAAGAGCATTTAAACAGCATTTTATTATAGTAACCCTCTAAATAAATTGTTCTTTATACTCTGAAGTGTATGTCTCCATTTAACATTATATGTGCCATAAGGATACACATGAGGGTAACTTGGGGTTCAGAGCACGTTCGTCCTTTTTCTTTACTTCTGTGTCATGTGTGCTATGTCGAAAGATGAATTGGATATGATTGGCGAGTCTGATGCTTGTTTGTGTAAATGTGTAAAGCACAGGTTGATGTTAATGCACTGGGTTTGTCATCATGATGAAAGGCGGGATGAATGTGCGTGTCGTGACGTGTTTTCAGAGGGATCTAAACCTCACACACAGGAAACCCTTAAAGGGAAAGTTCACCCTAAAATGATCCCATACTTGACTCGCACTCAAGCCATCCTAGCTAGGTGTGTATGACTTCCTTATTTCAGCCAAACACAATTGAGTTATATTAAAAAATAGCCTGGCTCCTTTAAGCTTTATAATAGAAGTGAATGGTACCTGAGATTTTGAAGCTCAAAAAACCATCCATCATAATAGTAATCCATACTGCTACTGGAGGTTAATGAAGCAAAGAGATGCGTGTTTTTTTTTGTTGAAAAAATATCTATATTATAACTTTAGAAACCGTAATGGCCGAATGCAAGAGTGACCCCCGACACGACGGAGGACATATTGATGAACGCGGAAGTGCAGAGGATCGAGTGAAAACACCGGTAATGGATTGGAAGTCTAAAATGAGAGTTTTTTAAAGAGAAATGTTGGAGTTTGAGTTTCTAATCCCACCAGAGGTTATGCCACTCATATGCATCGGGTCAGAGGTCACTCTTCCACCAGAACTACACTCATGCACGGCCTTTAC